CCTCCCAGAAAGGTTTTCTCCTAGAAGATTTTATCAGGAAACCATTTTGCCTTGGTTCCAGTAAACCCTACAGGTGAACTAAGAGACCTGCTCAGAAGTAATAATCACTTGCTACGTGATTTGTTGAGCAACTGAGGATCATCCCTTTTGCTGGTGTTTCTGTGTGGAATGTAAATAATTGACAGGTTCATCCATGGGGCCTTAGCAGAGCTGCTCTGTACGCTGGAGTTCCTGAGAAAAGGCCTTCCTGCCAACTCCATGGCTTATGCAGATCCAGCAGTAGATGTCTGAATTTTCTTTAGTTCAGAATTCTCAAAAATGTCTTCTGTGTTTACTTCACAGTAAATTTAGATGTATTTCTTAATGGTTGCATTTGTTCTTCAATAGTCCAACTTATCATGATGTCAGTGTGCCTTGGCACAGCCTAAGGAGAGAGCTGAATACAATAAGTTTGTTTTTTATTATAGTTTATCAGAAATGTGGGGGTTTTTTCCAAACCTTTCCAAAACCCTACTATGATGTTTAGAAAACTTTGAACATGCTTCTTATGCTCTCTAGGCATACAAAAGGCTTTTTTCAGATAACACCGTGTCATATTTTGTACTTAAGTCAGCTAAAGGACTGAAGAACCTCTTAGTTGTTTTTTTTTTTTTTTAAAGAAAACCCAAGACCTACCCACAGAAAAAGCCTAAGTAATTGTGAAAGCTTTATATCATTCCTTGAAAGTCAGTGAGATCTAACTAGCTGATGAAGGCAGTTTCAGCCACAGAGCTGATGCTGTGAAAACGTCTTATCGCAGATCTTCTGGAGACAATGCAGGGTTTTGATGAACCTTCAGATGGAATGAGCTTTGCTGTTGCCATTATGGATCAAGGTTTCAATTTTCCATATATTCTTGCTTCCATCACTCTCTCTACAGCTTCAAATTAATTTGTTAGCAAAACAGAGTTACCCAGTCTGGCTAGCTGGGGAGGTTGACTTAAAGACTCCTCAGCATTTAAATATCCCTTTTAAAGCTTATTATTCTTGGAGCTGTCTTCTACTCTACTCCTATCATTTAAATTGAGGTTGTACAAGCACCTCAGTAGATCTTGATCACAAGGTTTTATCAGCTCAAAACCGTCTCTTAAGCTGTACTTAAGAAAGAAAAAAACAAAGTACTAAGGAGACAATCCAAAGTTGCTCTATTGTATGCTGTTCACTTTATTAGCATCGAAGGCCTCATTAGAGTCTATAGACCTCACTGTTTCTTAATAGACTGCTATAGTTTGTGGGATGGAAACCACAATTTTCATTAGCTGAAACTTCAGAGAAGTCTTCGAAACTATACTTGGACAGGATGGCATGAGGCCAAGTAAGTTAACCGTATGTGTCAACATCCTGGATACCATCATTTGATTAGCAAAGAAAAGGATTTCTGGTCACTGAAACTCTTATTTGATCTGGCTGGGAGTTTTTTCTGTGGCATGCTGCTTTTTATTAGAAAATGCTGATTTGCCATCACAGAAAGATTTATTAGGAACATACCAGTTTTGATTACAATTTTGTTAAGAAACTTTCCTCAGCATCAATATGGACTTTGTGGTAAAATAAATTGTGCACTTCTCCAAAATAGCAAATTTGTCTCCCATGCCAGTAAACACTAGAAACCAGAATGGATCAAAAGGCAAGTCCTTATATGCTGGTGTTCAGGCTAAGGATATGAGTCTGCATTTCCACACTGGTTGCTGAGTCTGCCAGGTTGTTTCACATTTTTACATGGTGCTTTCTGCAAAATTTCTTTTTAAGCTGTCCACTCTGATGATTGAATAAGTGATCAAATTTTTGTTGTTTTTACAGAGAGTAACTAATTTAGTAGCTTTGACACTCAACGCAGTATATATACAACAGAGTAAAGTTTGAGCCCCTGCTCTAAGGAACATTTCTTCATACAAATGAAACACCCCCAACAGTGGGGATCCTCAGCCTACGCTAGTAAATAGGCAGTTGGTACTTTTACCTTGATTGTAAGACCAGAACCTCAAACCTACACATCTTACATCTGAGACAGTGCTCTTTCTCCCCCATCAATGAGTTGCTAAATACTTTGCATAGCTAAAACTCGTCTTTTTTTTTTTTTAAATTAATCTGAAATGTCAACATGGCTAGCATTCACTCTAATGGACATGACATTACCTGTCCAACAAGGAAATTGTTGTGATTGAATACTTCTGAAGAGTGGTGGGCTCCCCACCACCACCATGGCACACACACACTGGTTTTGGTGGGAATTTGAGGTTGTAGCCAGCCTGCGGAGGGTGCAAGCAATTCTCTTAATTTCAACAAACGAGCAAAAAGTTACTGTTTTTGCCAATTCTTTAACGTAATTACCACTGCCAGCCAGCATCACTTCCATCTGTATTTAGTCTGCAAATGAGCCAGTTGGTTTTCGTCCAGTTCCCAGTCTCTGCCAGACATTGAGAAATCGGTGAAGTGGTTCATGTCCTCTGAGAAGGAGGCCTACAGCAAAGCAGCCTAGAGTAGAGGCTCAGTGTCCTTTCCCTGCTCCATAGGTACATTGAGCAAGAGCAATTAAAAACCTGAGAGTTTTCAAGGAGGAGCAACACCTACCTCAAAATACCAGCCTTTACATAACGAAGTCAGGGAGAGGGTCATTTTAATGCAATTCATTTAATGAAGCAGTGCTGAGATCTCATCTCCTGCTGATCTTGTCCCAGTTGATCTTAGTGCTGTAGGATCAATGGTATCAGCACACTGTAGGGCATCACTGGGCTACATACTGCTGTCCTATCCCAGTTTGAAGCACAAGTGGCTGTGAGCCAAAACCAGTGAAATATTTCATGTTCAGGTGTTCATTTGGCTCAGTGGCTTTTCTCAGTAAATGTTGTGGAAGGACAGATAAATAGGGGTGCTGGAGGTGTAACAAAGTACCCGGTTAGGCAGCCAGAAGGGGAGACATGTTGCATAAGCGTTTCAAGTTTGTCATCTTAAATGTTCATTGGAAAGATAATTCAGAAGAGTAAAAAATTTTTATACTAGTACTCTGATCATTTTATAGGCACAGGGGGCACCAGTCTAATTCTGGACTCCGGGAACTGGCAATCCCTGCATTGCTTGATACCCATGTGATGATGTTCTTTCTTGTCCTAAATTAAATGCAGATGGTTTTAGATGTCATTCTGCTCACAGGTCACTTCCAGACTTGTTTGATATGTGAGGCTTTGCTTCCTGATTTAGTGTTTGTCTGGCCACCAAAGTTAGTTCATGTCTTAACATTACATACTTCTAAAGGGCAGTAATGTTTCTCACCAAATCAGAACAATGGGCCCTTGTCTCTTTAGTATGATAGGCTAGTAATATTCGTATTCAAGATTCATAAAATGTGCTCTTCATTTCAATGCCTTACTTTAATCTTAATGATAATGCAAGCCTAGATAAAATTTGGAAGCGTCATCAAAGATACAATCAGAACTTAAGTCCCAGGAGGAACTTTGGCATTTAGTCCTTTAGATGTTTGTGGCAAAAGAGAAGGATAGTATATAAGGATTTTTTTATTTGCCTTTTTTTTTGTTGTTGTTCCTTTTCCATACTTAAAAAAAAATGTTGCTTTTAATCTCTGGTGCTTTATTTATTCCTGACACAGGCAGGTCTGAAGCTGGAACCTAGTAGAAATTGTACCAATTTTCACCAGGATGAATAGAATTAATAGCTGTTTTTTCATTCCATTTGAGCACAAAATGGTTTTAGCTGGCAGTTCAGCCCAATAGTTTTGTTTCTACTAATCTCAGATAGGTCTAAATTTGAAACTTCGCTGTTAGTTGGCTGATTCACTGTAGAGGTTTTTTTGTTTGTTTGTTTTGTGAAATATTTGAGCATTTTACTTTGAGACCTGAAGTATATGCTGGTTTTGTACACTGTGCTTATATTGATGTGAGATAGGGTTGTTCTTTTTGTTAACTGAGAGAAACCTGTGTTCTCTGGTATTTCTGTATGTCCATATATGTTTTTGTACTGTTACAAAGGACCTTTACACTGATATACTGCTATTAAGCTGGTTTAATCTTACCTGTATGTTAAAGGAGTATAGTTCTTATATCTGTTTAAAACCATTTCCTTGAAGGCTTAGTCTGAATAGTGCACTTACAAGCTCTCTGAACAGGTAGGTGCATACTGTCCTGACCTGTATCAGACCCATGCACGTGCCTGTACCCCTTGACTCTGCAGCATTTGTGAGAGAAAAACCTGGTGAAGGGGTCTGAAACATGAGAGATCTGTGGCACAGTCCAGCCAGGCTCCCCAGTCTCGGGATTAGGTTACTGGAGCCTTTGCTGGCCCTCTGCACCATCTAGATGTAGCCAGAGGTGCCTGACTTCCAGTTGCTTTCAGTGGCAGTTAAGATCTTAATTAGATCAGCTACAAAATGATTTTTCCAAGATTCTGTGTGGTATATCTTGCATGATCCAGCTGGAAACAGGACTCAGATACCATGGGCTACAATTACCTGGCACGTCTCCACTATTATTTTATTGTTTGAATGTCTTTATTATTATTATGCAGTCTAGTACCTAATTGGAATTATTATATATTTAAAGAGACTTCAGATTGTTTTTCTTTTTAACAGCTTAATATTTAATTCTTTTTGTACTAAATAAATATCAGATGTTCAGTAAATATTAATTTTGTTGTTGTTGTTGCAGAATTTATTCCCCAGGCTTTTGGAATGCCCTTGTCCCAAGTGATAGCTAATGACCGGGCCTACAAGCTCAAGCAAGACTCTCAGAGAGAAGAGCAAAAAGATGTTTCAGATTTTGTGGCCTTTCTCTTGCCGTTTGGAACTAAAAGGCAAAACAAAGAACTTTCAAGCAGTAACTCATCTCTTAGCTCAACCTCAGAAACACCGAATGAATCCACTTCTCCCAACACACCCGAGCCAGCGCCACGAGCAAGGAGGCGTGTAAGTAGACCCGTCACAATGGAGTGCATGTCAGTAGGTCCGGAGAGTCTAGCTGGAGCAGGAAAAAACCCTGTTGTGTTTGTGACTTGTGGAATATTTTTCTGTCATGTTCAAACAGTGATTTTTTTTTTCAGGTGAAAGCCAGACCAGTCAATACCTGAAAATTCTAACTGTAGTGGAAATCTTTCTTTGGTGCTGGTGGGAAGGAATCATACGGACTGTGCAAGTCTTGTTGCATATCGCAAAATGGCAGAGAGATTATTTAGAAATTTTCATGTTCACTCTCTTTATATACTTTCTTCTGTCTAGGTCTTTTAGATTTAACAAATTCCATCCGTCTCCAACTAATTTTTTTCAGCTGGGGAAGGCTAAACCTGTGTGATTAGTATTTACAGGTATGCTTATATTAATCTAGCTCCAGAGACTTGGAAGTAAATCTAACTATTAATCCCTATTAATAAAAATTCCTATGGTCTAATTCTGATCATGTCCTCGATGGTAAGTAAGAAGTTGTCAGAGTCAGTTTGTACCAGGCTCTTTAAAGGACATTTCTGCATATAGGCTATGAAGATGCCTTTGTCTGCAGAACCCAGTGTGGTGGTTTGGGTTGAATGTTAATCCAGCATGTAAAATAAGTACCTGGTAGACCATTTGTTTGCAGGGTTCTGTTCCTTCTGATTAAGTTTTATGCTCTGAGCTTTCCAGTTTTCAAGTACTGCAGTTAGTAACAGTGGTAGATTTTGTTATTCTGGTTGTTACCATAGGATAGAGGTGCTTTTTCATTTTGTTTGCAACAGAGGGAGAAAAAATGCATAATAAAATACTCTCAATAAAAACCCATATTAAGTAATCTGAGAAAGAATTTGGGGGTACAAGAATGGACCCTGGAAAATAAAATATTTTATTAGGATCCTCATTTTCTTTCATCCCTAAGATAAAACCTGCTTCAGAGAAATGCTGCTTAGGGCTCTTCAGGCCATGGTGTTAAGAGGGCTAGAACTGGAGTAAATTGCAAATTAAGAGCAGGTTGAAGAGGCCCCTGACCTGCCCTCTT